TTATGCCATACTATACTGTCATTTTTATGACTTTTTATGATTTACCATACTATGACGTTTTTATAACTTTTTATGCCATACTATACTATGTCGCAATTAGGACTTTTTATGACTTACCATACTATGATTTTTCATGCCTTACTATACTATGACTTTTTATACTATACTATGACTTTTTATACCATACTATACTATGTCGTTTCTATGACTTTTTATGACTTACTATACTATGACGTTTTTTTGACTTTTAATGCCTTACTATACTATGTCCTTTTTATGCCTTACTATACTATGACTCTTTATGACTTGCCATAATATGACGTTTTTATGACTTTTCATGCCATACTATACCATGACGTTTTTTTGACTTTTAATGCCTTACTATACTATGTCGTTTTTATGACTTTTTATGCCATACTATACTATGTCGCATTTAGGACTTTTTATGACTTACCATACTATGATTTTTCATGCCTTACTATACTATGACGTTTTTAGGACTTTTTATGCCATACTATACTATGTCATTTTCAGGACTTTTTATGCCTTACCATACTATGTCGTTTTCATGACTTTTTATGCCTTACTATACTATGACTTTTTATGACTTGCCATAATATGACGTTTTTATGACTTTTTATGACTTACCATACTATGACTTTTCATGCCTTACTATACTATGACGCTTTTATGACTTTTTATGCCATACTATACTATGTCGTTTTTATGACTTTTCATGCCATACTATACTATGACGTTTTTATAACTTTTTATGCAATACTATACTATGACTTTTTATGCCATACCATACTATGACGTTTTTATGACTTTTTATGCCATACTATACTATGTCGTTTTTAGGACTTTTTCTGCCTTACTATAGTATGACTTTTTATACCATACTATACTATGACGTTTTTATGACTTTTTATGCCATACTATACTATGTCGTTTGTATGACTTTTTATGCTATACTATACTATGAAGTTTTATAACTTTTTATGCAATACTATACTATGACTTTTTATGCCATACTATGTCGTTTGTATGACTTTTTATGACTTACCATACTATGACTTTTTATGCTATACTATACTATGAAGTTTTATAACTTTTTATGCAATACTATACTATGACTTTTTATGCCATACTATGTCGTTTTTAGGACTTTTTATGCCATACTATGCTATGACGTTTTTATGACTTGCTATACTATGACTTTTTATACCTTATTATACTATGACGTTTTTAGGACTTTTCATGCCTTACAATACTGTGTCGTTCTTATGACTTTTTATGCCATACTATACTATGTCATTGTTAGGACTTTTTATTCCTTACTACACTATGACTTTTTATGCCTTACTATGTCATTTTTAGGACTTTTTATGCCATACTATGCTATGACGTTTTTATGACTTACCATACTATGACTTTTTATGACTTTTTATGCCATATTATACTATGTCGTTTTTAGGACTTTTCATGCCTTACAATACTGTGTCGTTCTTATGACTTTTTATGCCATACTATACTATGTCATTGTTAGGACTTTTTATTCCTTACTACACTATGACTTTTTATGCCTTACTATACTATGACGTTTTATGCCATACTATACTATGTCGTTTTTAGGACTTTTTATGCCATACTATACTATGATGTTTTTATGCCATACTATACTATGTCGTTTTTAGGATTTTTTATGACTTACTATACTATGTCGTTTTTATGGCTTTTTATGACTTACCATACTATGACGTTTTTATGACTTTTTATGCCATACTATACTATGTCGTTTTTAGGACTTTTTATGCCATACTATACTATGTCGTTTTTAGGACTTTTTATGCCATACTATACTATGTCGTTTTTAGGACTTTTTATGCCATACTATACTATGTCGTTTTTAGGACTTTTTATGCCATACTATACTATGTCGTTTTTAGGACTTTTTATGCCATACTATACTATGTCGTTTTTAGGACTTTTTATGCCATACTATACTATGACTTTTTATGCCTTACTACACTATGAATTTTTATGACTTACCATACTATGACGTTTTTATTTCATACTATACTATTTCGTTTTTATGACTTTTTATGCCTTACTATACTATGATGTTTTAATGACGTTTTATTCCTTACTATACTATGACGTCTTTATGACTTTTTATGCCTTAGTATACAATGACGTTTTTATGATTTTTTATGCCATACTACACCATGTCGTTTTTGGTCTTTTAATGACTTTTTATGCCTTACTATACTATGACTTTTTATGACTTTCTATGCCATAGTATACTATGATGTTTTTATGACTTTTTATACTATACTATGTCATTTTTATGGCTTTTTATGACTTACCATACTATGACTTTTTATGCCTTACTATACTATGTCGTTTTTATGACTTTTTATGCCTTACTACACTATTAATTTTTATGACTTTTTATGCCTTAATATACTATGATGTTTTAATGACGTTTTATTCCTTACTATACTATGTCATTTTTATGACTCAGCATACTATGACTTTTTATGACCTTTTTCTGACTTTTTATGCCTTACTATACTATGTCATTTTTATGACTCAGCATACTATGACTTTTTATGACCTTTTTCTGACTTTTTATGCCTTACTATACTATGTCATTTTTATGACTCAGCATACTATGACTTTTTATGACCTTTTTCTGACTTTTTATGCCTTACTATACTATGTCATTTTTATGACTTAGCATACTATGACTTTTCATGCCTTACTATACTGTGACATTTTTATAAATTTTTATGCCATACTATACTATGACGTTTTTCTGACTTTTCATGCCTTACTTTTCATGCCATACTATACTATGACGTTTTTCTGACTTTTCATGCCTTACTTTTCATGCCATACTATACTATGACGTTTTTCTGACTTTTCATGCCTTACTATACTATGACGATTTTCTGACTTTCTTATGCCTTACCATACTATGACATTTTCATGTCTTACAATAATGTGACGATTTTCTGACTTTTTATGCTTCACTTTAACATGATGTTTTTACGTCTTTTTATGCCTTACTATACTGTGACTTTTCATGCCTTACTATACTATGACGATTTTCTGACTTTTTATGCTTCACTTTACTATGATGTTTTTACGCCTTTTTATGCCTTGACTTTTCAAGCCTTACCATACTATGACGATTTTCTGACTTTTTATGCTTCACTTTACTATGATGTTCCTACGTCTTTTTATGCCTTACTATACTATGACTTTTCAAGCCTTACTCTACTATGACGATTTTTTGACTTTTTATGCTTCACTTTACTATGATGTTTTTACGTCTTTTTATGCCTTGACTTTTCAAGCCTTAACATACTATGACGATTTTCTGACTTTTTTATGCCTTAGTATACTATCACTTTTTTACTGTATTTTATGCCTTACTATACTTGGACGTTATCATAACATTTTATTTGTCATTATATTGTTAAGACCAACTCATTTAGAGCATAACTAAGAAGGGGGGTCCACACAGTAACCATTTGAAAAAACCAAAGTTATTAAGGATAACTTAATTTAAGCTAAGCAAACTAGAAAATGTGTCAGTGATGTAGTTTAGGTGTTGGTTGCTATGAAGATGAAAGCCAACTTATACTACATGTACAAGAACTGTGGCCCTAACCAAAACCAATATACAGCCAAACAAAATCAATTTGGGTGGCTGAAAGGCACCAGCCCTCTAGGAGAGCTGTGAGAGAGAGGTCACCTTGAGTCTCTCAGTTTAAATAGGCTCTACTCAGATGAAGTCAGTCCGGTAATCAGGAAGTACCTGGGGAAAAAAAACAAAAAAAGAACAGGAACAGTTCAAAACAAAATAGAGTCATATGGCTCAGGGCCATCACAATACTGTAATGTTTTTATGACTTTTTTAAGCCTAACTATACCGTGATGTTTTATGACATTTTAAGCCTCACTGTAGTATGATGTTTTGAGGTTTTTATGCCTCACTATACTATGATTTTCTCATGCCTATAGTATCACTGTTTCAAGTCTCATTATACTGTTTTTTTTATGTCCCTATATCAAGTCTGATGTTACCATATGTGTCCCCTATAAAAGGATTAGAGATTATTATGACATATATCTTCATATATCAAGTTAGAAATAAGGAAGTATATAAGTAAGGAAATACTGATATCAAAATGAAACTTTATTAAAACATGATTAATAAAAATCTAAATTTCTTATTTGATTTTCTTATATATATTAAAGTTAAACATGCATGTTAGGCTATACTTGAAATAAATATATAAATATGTCTTATATGTTAATAAACCGTTTGGTTGACGGCATTAAAAAGCCAATCTTGTTATGTTCCTACCAATGTTGAGACCAAACCTACACCCTTGGTTTAATAGTCAAAACCAAGACTGTGTGGTTGTGATTTGATCTAAAAAATGTTCTATCTTTGGCAGAACTTATGTGTTTATGCAGGACCCCATCACTCATAGAAAGAGTCTAATTATCTAAACAGGCTTTTACACTTTTGAACCTGACTATGAAATTCATCTAATCCTCATCAGGAAGGCCCACCTTGCCCCGTTCCTGCCGAGCCACCCGGTGGTTGCCATGCAGTCGGTCAACACCAGCAGTTCCCTGGGCACTATCAGCGCTGCCCCCTGGGGCTCCAGTGCCATCCTGCCAATCTCCTGGGCTTACATTAAGGTCAGTGATGTCTGTGGTTAAGATGACATTGTGCTCCAGTACCAAACCATAAACTTGGTAGTAGTAGTTCTGAAGCAAAATCCCACTGACAGAGAATGGTCCAGGATTCAATCCAAGAGATGTCCAAACAGTGCAACAGTTGGATCCAGACCAGTTCACTCAGTTGAGAAAATAAAGACCTTATTGTTTGTATTATTTAAACCCTGTAGCCTGTCGACTTTCTCTAGTTGTACAAATTCAAAGGCAACTGGGTTTGCTATTTTTGTGTGTGCTTAAATATTTAATATTAAGTGACCTCTTTGGGTCTTCACGTGTTGCTGCCACATATGAGCTGTTAAAGTCACTTGGCTGTCATGTGAATTTAATGTCAGTCACATGATCTAAAGTGTGATTTTGTGATAAACTGTCTGGGAAGGAATGTCAGGGTTGTCATTGTAAGTAGCTAATTAGTGTTTTCAGGACACTTATCTATTGTTTATAAGGAAGGAGTGGTCTGAATGGATTGACTGTGCATATTTTAGAGGGGACAGATGATTTTAAGAGGAGTGAAAGAGTGGGCCTGTGATAGTCTTCAACATTGAAATAGCAAAAAAAAATTTTGTTTTCTCGTGTCTTCATGCAAAGCAGGATTAATTGAGGTTTTCAATTGAAAATTTTACATGGACATTTTAGCAAAAACTAAGCTACATGGCTGAATATGTCATTAGTCAGTGATGCAAAAATCAGATGTTAGTGTCTACATAAAGAGAAATTTTCTTACCATGGATTTGAATGATTATAGACTGTATTAATGGGTGTGTCAGTTTTAATAGCCAACATTTTTAATGAAACTCTTCTGATTGGTGAAAATGAACTGCTGACATTAATCCTGTTTGTGGTGTTCTAGATGATGGGAGCCAAGGGACTGCTTCATGCTACAGAGGTGGCCATCCTCAATGCCAACTACATGGCCAAGAGGCTGGAAGGTCACTACAAAGTCCTCTACAGAGGCAGGAAAGGTATGATATTGAAAGCATGGTTTCTATCAGTGCGTGTGTGCTGATCTACTTTCTACACTTCTAGGGTTTACTGCAATCAATTTCAAAAGACTTAATGCTTCTAAATTTCAGTTTTAAAGGTTCTCCCTCATGTCCTTGTGTTGGTCTGAACAGGATTTGTAGCCCATGAGTTCATCCTGGATGTGAGGCCATTCAAGAAGACAGCCAATATTGAGGCTGTCGATGTGGCCAAGAGGCTGCAGGATTATGGTAGGCTGAATTCTATACATTTTGTACCTTATTTTTGTCCTTTATAACCACTTAAAGTTTGGATATCTATGAATATGAAGCTGTTTCTGATTTGGGTGGGTTTTTTTGTGCTGGTTTGTCTAGGTTTCCATGCGCCCACCATGTCATGGCCAGTGGCTGGTACACTCATGATTGAGCCCACAGAGTCAGAGGACAAAGCTGAGATGGACCGGTTCTGCGATGCCCTGCTTGCTATCCGACAGGAGATTGCAGACATTGAGGAGGGAAGGATGGACTCCCGCATCAACCCACTCAAGGTATGCTACTGGAATGATTTGTCCCTTTGTTTGGGGTGAAAAGATGCACTATATTGTATGATATAAAGGCTGTGACATCTACCATCTGAGGTCCTTATGTATGTGTGCAGATGGCACCTCACTCTCTGGCCTGCATCTCATCCTCTAACTGGGACAGACCTTACTCCAGGGAGTTTGCTGCTTTCCCCTTGGTGAGTGTCCTCATCTCTCTGACTTAACACACTCCCTGCTAAAACTTCTGTTTAGCAAAAGGTGCTTTAGATAAGAAATCCATGGTCTTTGTTGACCCCTAGTGGTGAGAAGTATGAATTGCAACAACATTGGAACAATTTCTTACCCACTGCATTAGTTTCATCTACACATCACAAAATTTGTTCGGATTCTAGTTTTATTACAGTTAAATGATTGTACCAACTTAAATTTAAGGCTGGTGTTATATTATTTTTATTGACTGCGAATCTCCTTAAACAACATAACCAATAATATGTTAGTCTCTCTGGTTGTACTTTCCTACTTCCCTTAACGGTTTGTTGCATTCGCCCCAAGCCCATTTTCTTACTTATCTCTCATGCTATCTGGCCATGCAGATAAATGGTGCAATATACCCATCCGAGATTTCTGCCTTTTTCGGCCAATAAAAAAAAGAGATGAATAGCATTTTCTTTGTCAGGCATCTTTGAAATATTACATGAAAACAATTCAACAGCGCCATCTTTCTAGACACATATGGTGTCATAAAAGTACTTGTATAACTAACTCAACAGTACAGTTTCTGATTTTGTCCCAACTTAACTGTCTTCCATTTCAGTGCCTTACAGTAAATCACTGACTATCTTCTCACCATTATGTCCCTGTTTTTTACTCTACAGCCCTTCATAAGACCCGAGACCAAATTCTGGCCGACCATCTCCAGGATTGACGACATCTACGGCGACCAGCACCTCGTGTGCACCTGCCCACCTATGGAGGTGTACGAGTCTCCATACGAGGAGAAACGAGCATCCTCATAGATGGTCCCCCTCATCTGGTCCAGTCCCAATGTCCCACCTAAGCTCTAAGCACTCAAAACTCAGACTTGAAACGTTTGTGTGCTCAGTGAAAATGTGAGGGAGGGGAGGGGAGGGGGCTAAAAACACTACTTTGTGAAATCGCATTAGCTGGGGCAGAAGTTTTTCTGCTGTGTGTGACACTCTCACTCTAGTAGTTTAATAAATTTGTGAGCAACATTTGCTGAATTTTTCATAAAATAATAGCCTCTATATTATTGTTTGATCAAATTAGGTAAAAACAAAAATGCAGAAGTAATGCTGTCAGGCTCACATTAAACTAGGCAGTCTTGGCTGCTATCATTTTCTTCCACCTGTCTATTTTTTTTTTTGTTGTAAGACTTTCTCTGGCAAACCTTGTTTTTAACATTAGTGTCCTGTAAACTGTTAATCCCCTTAAAAGGAGCCTGCAGCAGTGCAAAAAGTCTGTAAGAAAGCCTTCAAGCACTTTCCGATTTCACAATTAACAGCCCTGAGCCTTTAGCCTACTTATTACAAATGGGTGTCAAAAGTCTATGAGTTGGATGTTGGGACTGGGCTTCTGTCTGATTGCACCCTCTTCACTGGGGTCATGGGGTTTACCCTTCTCGAACTTTAATGGACCAAAGGTGCAACTTCTAAGCGCTCTGTAACACACCTGTGAAATTCTGTACTTTGAGCTGAGTACAGTTCATTTTTTGACTCCCAGCATCATATAAAAAATGCCCTTGGTGCCTCTATTCTGTTGTGTAAAATAGCTGCCTTTACTTTCCCTATTTTTTTTTTTTCCAAACATGACAAAATATAGGAGTTAGTTTCCTTGTAGGCTTTTGTTAATATGCATCTATAGTATGAAAATGTTTTAAAGTATGTTGTGACATTTGTTGGCTACATAGCAAATAGTCTTAATGTTAATTTTAAATGAATTTTCTAATCTAAATGTTGTCTCTTGAAAAAAAATGTCTGTATTAAACATTTGTCTTTAAGTGGACGCTGTAAGTTCTCATTTTAGGCAACACTGCCACAGAGTGGTGACTCTGGGAATATTTTTCAATTTCACACACACAATCTTGACTTCATACTATAAAAACAAATGCCCTTCGCAATTTCCCAAAGCCCAAGTTGACATGTTTACATGTCTTGTCTGACCAACAGCCTGAAATCCAAACATATTTATCAAACTCACATTTGAGAATTTGGGACTTGCACTATTTTTTAGATGTAATAGATAATCCAGATTAATTTCCTGCCAATCCACTAATTGTTTCAGCTATATCTGAAGCCTTTAGCCATGTGAAACCAGCGGAAACCAATTTGAGAATTGGTTGCATAACTGTACTTTAACCCCTAAGCAATTTGTACAGCACATGCCACAGATTCCTAAAAGACACTACAAATATCCTCATCCTGATATCAGTTTCAGTGGACAGCTCTTGAAAGTTTGACCAGGCTGTTTGGGATCTGCCTTTAGTTTTTTCCAAAGATGTATGAGGGTAGAAAAATCAGACACAAAAGTCTTTCAAACAATAAGTTTATGTCTTAAAATGTGTTTAACTGCTACCAGAGCTGGTGACATAAAAGAACATTTGATATATTGAGACAAACCTTTAAAAACCTTTAAGGCTGAATTTCACATTTCAATTAAAACATAAAAAGATGCAGAGGTAACATGATGCTATTAACTCTACTGTTACAACTAAGTCCTTAAAATGGCTTTAAATGTCCATTTTTCAAATCGGGAAACTGCATATGAAAACTGATTTGAGTGGACAAGATGAATAATTTTAAGTCATAACAGCAACATCATGACCGCAAGAACAGAATACAGCCTTTAACCACTACACAAGTGGCACAGAAAATCAATATGTTGCGTCAGAGAAACCTGAGCAGGAAAGTTTGTGGCCAGACCCACATGTGGTTAACAGCTGTGTTGATATACAGGAGTCGTATATCTTCAAAGAAAGTAACAAAACAATACTTTTGCTTTAAAAAAAAAACAAAAAAACACTGGGTCTTAATCAGAAATAATATTCCTATTTATCTTTAGTCGAGCCCACACAGAGAAACAAGCTCTGCTGACAAAAAAAGTGTCAAAAGGCTTCATCAAGGGGACTAAAAGAATAAATAAGCTTGAATGATTCATGCAATAATACTGATACTATGACTGTCAGCAAATCCCATGAAAAGGCCAAAACCAACAACTATTCATCCTTCTAATGAGTATCACTGATATGTCTTATTCCTGCCACAGAGTTCCACTGTTAAAAACGCATCTATGTTAGCACCGGGTGATTCATTATCATAAACACAGCCACTGAAATTTATTTTGAGTCCATCCCATAGACATAAATACAAGCAAACCAAATCTGCACCCACAAATGTCTGTATATAAGGATGGATGTTTTCTTTGCCTGTTAGAATGAATGTAAGATGTTTGTATGAACAAAAGTGCGTGCGAGGTTAGCAATACAGTTCTAGGCTGAGCTGTGTCTAGAACTGTTGAGGGGTTATTTGTGTTCATGCCTTGTTGCAAATAGACCAGCATTGAGTGAAATTCTCTGAATCTCTGTGTGCTACGTTTGTCCTCGTCTACAGTTGATCTTTAAATTGGACCCCAATCTGACTGCTTGAGGTTCCACAGAAACCCTCAACATTTGAGATTTAGTTTCAGTAGTAAGTGTTGCAGCTTTAAATCCTGAAGTTTGCCGAGTTCCAGGAAAAACCACCATAATCGCCCCTGACAAATTACACTGATTTTAAAAGATCAGACTTCAGTAGAAACAAAGGGCCTTGTGGCTGAGAAGCACAGACAGGGTAGGGAGGTCACACTTTGATGGTTAAGGTCTTTTACATGGGATTTGGTCTCAATAAAACACAGCACTAAAAACATTTAGTGTGAGCTCAAACAGATGTAGAACCCCTGTGACTATAAGTCCCAAAAATGAAGTGCCATTTGGAGACACAGCTATAATGATGTGCAGGGTTTTGGAGTTTAGCTTAGTATGTTTGGCTGCTTATTTGTTCAGAAGCTGTGGTCCAGGGGGAAAAAAGAAAGCGTGGATCCTGCAGAGAGTCAACATCTTGCAACTAGGATTCAAAACTTGTATAACTGCAAGCTGTAAAAATTATACATGATTCTCTTTCTGTTTGTCTTTGAGTGTCTGTCTGACAGACATTGCACCTCATTTACATACTCAATCTTCTCTGCTGATACATACATCAGTGGCATCCAGGGTCATTCAGGTAGAAAATGTCTTATGCAACAGTGTCTCTCACTTGACTTGTCCCGTTTCCCAGTCCTCCTGTTGGCCGATTGCCTGATGAGCGTCAGCCTCCACGGCTTTTCTCCTCTGAACCAGGCGGTCAACCAGGACAACGAACACTGCTGATGAAATGAGGCACAGGCCTGAGAGGTAGAAGGCAGCGCTGTAGTCATTTGTCTCATCCACCAGCCAGCCTGAAACGCAGAACAAGAAACAGAAGCTAGATCACACAGTTGTGCCAGGGCTGAAAAATAAATGATCATATATATATATTCCTACAGGAGACATGAAGTGATGTTTTTGCCATTTTACCTTTACCTGCACTTGTGGATTGAAAAACATGTGTCATATGTTCCTTCTTAAATTTGTTAAATCCAATCTGGAGAAATGATTTGCCTCATTCAGAACTTTTATTAGAAAAATTAGTGAGTCTGTTAAGTGATCAGATTAGTGTCTCTTTTCTGGAATTGAATAGAATGATATTGAAACAGAATGATAAAAACTGAACAGGGCATCCAACAAACAGAGTGATATATAATTATCAGACATGATCAACAGAAATAAGACAATTATCCCACTTTGCAGAAACTATTTAAATCTCTGTAATGTTGCCTAGATTTAAATATAAAAAGAGAGATATTCAAAGTAAGGGTGTAGGTTTGGTCTCAAAATTGGTAGGGCTCAACAACCCATCAGAATAGGTGGGCTATGGCTACGTTAAATATAAGTTAGGGATTTACAATTAATCTATAATAATGTATATTTAATCAAACTATCATTTTAAAACCTCACCTAAAACCCTGAAGATACCTCTGTTTCCTCATCAGCCTTCTCTATCTGCTGTTGTTCCAGCATACAAAATAGTTAATTGACATTTTCATGGGATCTCTCAACAGAAAACTAAAACTAAAGTCATAAAATCTAATAATACATATGCCCATAATGTATTTATTTGTAAACCCACCTCCACCCTGATAACCGAAATTTGTAACCGATACGCCAACACAAAACTACTACTACATAAGGACTCTCACTGTGGCCTTAAGGTGTTTCATTTATTTTGTCCATCCCATATATACAGTATATATAAGTGAAAGCAGGCTAAATAACAGAAACACCTCTGTATAATTTAATACAACTACACACACTACATCCTCAAAAACGATCTTACAGTTGAATCAACAACTGTCTAAAACAATTTTAATAAAAACTGATCATTATAACCTTCATGAAGGAGAATTTCCTGCAGGACTGTTGTATTAGACTACACCAGTTTTATTTACATGTTCCTAATAAACTCAGAACTGAGTGTATATTAGTAATTATCAGTTGTATGCACAGACTGCAAAGCACCTGACTGGAATTAATTGGTTGATTACAGTGCTGTTCTCACCTGCAAACTGATTCACCTGGCAGCCTAAAGATGATTTTTAGTTTATTGTTGCTGTCTGAACACAGTTAATGTCGCTGTTTTCTTCATCACACTGACTACCTACCTGCTGTACATTTAAACTTACACTAGTTCACACACTTACACTGCTCCAGCACCCAGAGCTCTCTGCTCCTTTAAGGACTTTCACTAATTCAGCAGCTCAGCAGCATGCTATTCAGATGTGCTAGTTACTTTAGCTTAGCAATTAGCAATAGCTTCTCTCTCTGTGTGTTTTGAACCAACAGATGAACTTGTTCATCAGAGTGTGGTGCTGTTGTAACTTCAGTGTAGAGGATTGTGGTATTTAATACACCTTCAGTGATCTGTGGTCTGCTGTCTTACCTTCGACATGCGGCTCTGCTCATTAACTGCAGCTGCTCTGTGCCCCTCTGTGTACACAGCAGCCTTCAGCCTGATAGACTAACCAATCAGATCTTGCTGTGGGTGGGACATTACTCCAAACCACAGAGTGGAAACTACACACCAGGGGCAGGTGGCTGCATCAAAGCCAAAGTAGGGCATTTTTAAATTAATTTATTTTATCGGTTGTCGGTTAAAGAAAATAACGATACAGATAATTGGAAAAAGGCAGAATATCCCTACTTTTGTTATTTTGGGATGATGCAAGATGATTTGGTGGGGCACTGCCCCCCAAGCCCATGCCTAGAGCCATGCCCACATCGGAATGATCTAATAGGACTTCACTCCAAACATAGTGCGAATGAGTTCACTCAATGGTAGGGACAATTCTGTCCTCCCGAATATTGGTAGGGACATGTCCCTACTGTCCATATGCAAACCTACGCCCTTGATTCAAAGATAAAAAAGAGATCTGGGCTTCTTTAATTTAGATCCAAAACCAGACTAAAAGTCTACGGCCATGCTTGTGGCCCTGTGAGGCTGTATCTAGGCACAGTGAAAACCTGCCTCATGCTAATCAATGTTGTCACATTGCTTCACCAAGAATAAACACAGAAGCATGTGAGTGCTAATTCTTTTGCATTTCATTTAAATTCCTTCACATTCGGCTCCATATTCTGGCTACTACAGTTCTTTTTTTTTACCTGATAATCCAAACACGGACTGCTCACCTGCAGCAGGTGGACCGATGAAACCACCAATGCTTCTGAAGAGCATAAAGAGCCCCAGTCCACTGTCGAATCCCTCTAGGGTCACAATGTCCACGATGGAGGTGATGTGAATGGCCACCACGCAGCCGAACAGGAAGCCGTAGAGCGAGGCGAAACCCAAGATGGCCCAGTAGTTGTGGCTGACTGGCAGCAGCATGAGCACGACCCCGAGGAGAGTGACCACCATGGTGAGCAGCTGCAGGTTCCTCAGTAGCCTCATGTTGGCTACCCACCCACAGATCAGCCTTCCAGCCAGGTCAGCCAGCGCCAGGACAGAGAGAATGGAGGCCGGCCAGTACTTATCCATCCCCAAACTGTTGGCAAAGGGCACTAGAAAGAGAGGTGGGATGAAGAAACCTGCTGCTGCAAAGATGGCGAACAGGATGTAGAGTAAAAGTTCAGGCTTTCTCAGCAGGGAGAACTGGAAGATAACCTTCCCCTTTGGTGGACTGTCTTCTAGACTGTCTTTGGCTTTTTGGATCGAGCCCTGCTTCGTCTCCAGAGGTCTCATGAGGGCACCGCAGACACACAGGTTGAGCTGAAGGCCTCCGATGATGAGCAAGGCGCCTTGCCAGCTGTACGTCTCAATGAGCCACTGGAAGAAAGGGCTGAACATGACGGCGAACACACACTCCCCTGAGCTGGCAATGGCGTAGGCGATGGGACGCCACCGCACAAAGTAGTGACTCACCATGCTGTTGGCAGGGATCCACGAGAAGGAAATGCCTGTTCCTGAAAACAGAGGATGGAAACCTTTAATCATCCAAACTGGTTTATCAACCAAAAAAAGCATCACCTTCAACCAACCCAGCCAGCCAGATATTTTTTGTGCCATATGGATATAAAAACACCAAATAACATCCGATTGCTGAAGCAGAATTAATAGGTGAAGACATATTTGGCAAATCCTCAGATTTAAGGCTGGATGCAGTAAAGTGTTGGCGTCGTTATTTGAAAAACTGAACTGAACTGAAAACTGAAATTATTAATCAATTATCAAAATAGTTGAAGATATACTTTTTCGATTGGCCAATAGATTCAACAACTAATCATTTAAGCTCAAACATGCATTGGAAAAGTTCCTTTATAACATTCATAGTTGTTTGTTTTGTCATTAAATAATCTCTTTATCTAATAACAGCTGCTTTCAGTCATAAAAATAGATGGGAATCACATGTTTTGTGACTCTAGCTTTTGCATGAGAAATACAACATATTTGAATGGCTACATGTTATTATCTCCCATTCTACTCTCTACACTTTGTAAAATGGTGTTCATGCTGTCATAAATGTCAAATGAAATATCTAATTCTAATTGTATGATTTGTGTGTGTTGACTGATCAAACCTAAATAACTTGCCTCTGGAAACTGATTGTGGGAGTTTGTGAATACATATAAAAATATGTCTTTAAACCATAATTTTGCTTCTTTAGAGAGTCATGCACATACTGGTATTTATAACTAACAAATAATTAATGTGAAGGTGTAAATAGTCAAATGTGTCTTATCTTGCTTCTTTTAAGTGTGTTCCCACCCTCTCTCCATCAAATATGAAAATTAGTAAAATTAAAATAATTATAAATGGCAACATGTGGGTCTCATATGTTGGCAGATCTGATTTGCCATTTCTCAGACTATAACTGACCAAACGGAGTAAGTCAAAAGAGCAGAAATGCTTTCTGGGTTTCAGAGTATGTCCTGAGTACCTTGCAGGATGCCCATGGTGAGATAGAGACAGGGTAGACTGAGGTCCAATGATGCCAGCAACATTCCTGAGGCAGTCAGCAGGCCTCCGACTATGATGACCACTCTTTGAGAAAACTGTAAAGTCAGTGCACTGGCTACTGGAGCTGAGGAAAGTATGAAAACAAGACTGTAAAAACACCTTGAGTTAAAAACAACTGAAAACTTTGGGCCAAAAACCATATCTTTACCTCCCAGGTGAAACATGGCAATGGTAGTGGAGGTGACCCAGGAGGTGGTGCTGGTCAGGACTCCGAAGTGACTCTGGATGTCCAAGAAGAAGATGCCGAAGTTCTTGAGGACAGCAGCAGTAAGGCCCATGATAAAAAAGGCAGACATGACCACTACCCAGCCATACCCCCCGTCAGGAGGTCCAGCTCTCGTGGACTTCATCTTCATCAGCTACTCTGCAGGCTGCTCTCCTGCCTGTGCTGAAAGGTTGCCTTTCAATAAACTGACAACCTGCAAGGTTAGGGCTCATGGAAATGAGCATGCAAAATGCACACAGCTATGTGATCAAACCACTTTAAGGGCAGTCAAATATTTTAACACATTGACCGTGGTGTCAAGCAGCTCAGGGCATTTACTTATTTCTTCTTTAAGTACAATTTTGACATACTTGTGTTCAGTTTTTGGTAACCTAAACATTTTTTTAAATACTTTTCATGTTATACAGGACCTTCATACATGTAAATGTTAGACACGAGTCTAAAACAACAGCACCACAAAGTACAGCCTCAAAAAATTACCAAAATAAGTTAATAAAAATGAACATTTAGTTAAGGTATGAGGTTTGGACTACATTACCTATGTTTAATTAAAAATAATTCTGATAATTAAATAATAATTTGATTAACTACTTTTGTCTTTATCTTGTTTTTATTTTACAATATCTTGTGTGCAAGACATAAAAAAAACAAAAAACATTTTCTCGGTGCGCAATCAAACTTACTTGGGATAGTTGAGGTGCATTTTGCTGCTAATACTTTATGTCGCTACTACGGCGTATTTTTTTAGTGATATTACAACTTTTACTTAAGCACAGGATCAGAGCATTGCCTCCACCACTGCTCTTTGTACAAGGCTTTTAAACGCACTACGGTTTCTTCAAATTAAAAACATAGATAACACAGATTTAGATGCCACACCCTACCCAACTCACTAAGATTGAAACAAAAAAGAACATTTTGTTTAAAATCCAAGCTCACGTTTTTTTCCGTTACGCTCCTACTCTCGGCGTCCTCGACATATCTCTGCTCCGGGTACAAACATTGTTCTGAGGTGAAGCTATCAAACCCGTCTGCCTTTACATTCGCATTGCGCTCTTATTCTGAAGTTTAAGGTAATCACATTGCAACAGAAAGAGGCTAGCGTTCGTTCTTAGGTTTTGGTTTGGTTACACCTTTTTTTACACGTTCATCAAACTCGCAAACACAGCGAAAAAAGAACAAACGCTGGGACTATTTAGAGCAGTTCTAAAGATAAACATCGTGTACAAGCCCGATGTCCACCGGTCAGGCGACCTCGGCTCTGGTGAAGCTAAAGCTAATCCGCAGCGTACGCAACATCCGGATTTCATAATAAAGTGTCGAACTCGATGTAACTAAAGTTGTATGCTATGCAAAAGTGTGGCTACCCCTGGGAAAATGACATATTTTGTTGATTTTTGAAGTGAAAAGAGGTAAATACAAGTGCTGTGGACAGATGAAGTTAATTTTGGCCACAATCACCAAAAGTATGTTTAGAGAAACTCTTAATATTGCTATTATTTGCTACAGGGGCTGCATTGACTTCTTTTCACTTCAAAAATCTACTAAACATGTAATTTAGCTAAATAAAGCTTCTCCAAAGGGAGCATAAACAAATCAATAGCTCTGTTAATGAAAGGCGAAGTTGCTCTGTAAAGAGATCAGACTGACCTTTTTGTGGAAGCCTATTTATAGCTCAACTGTTTCAATGTGCAAAGCTATGGAAGCCTATTTCCACCAGAAAAAAATAAAGTACTAAGACTTTATTATTAGTATAAGTATAGTATTATATTATATAAAATATAGACTTTATAAAGTGTGATATATCTTGTTTAATTTAAAAGTCTAAATATTAATTAAAAAACATATTCTAAACTTAAGTTAATTGAGTTTAAGTTATCAAATAATTTTGACTTGTTACTTTACACTAAATATACTAAATTTAAAATAACATTAAGTTGCAAATACCTCAAAATTTAACTTAGTATTTGAGTATTTATTACTTTCCTGTAAATGTGGAGTCAAGACACTTGGTGGAAATCCCTTCAGCCCCCCCTCCCCAGTCACGGCTCTCTTACTGCAGTTACATAATGAGGTCTAGTCAGTACATATTATAGGATCAGTGCCTATAAGGGTTACAATGATCAAATGGTTTCTCTGACACTAAAACGTTATGTGGATTATAGCTTAAGGTGCACACATCTGTGTCACTTTAAAATAACTCAAATACTAGTGAGTCGACTCTTAAGAACGTCAGACTAAGACACTACTACAGTTTGGACCTTATGCCATACACATTAATGTAAACTGTGGAAAAAACAAGGAGCTTCAAAGCGACGGACCACAAGAATATGCTTAACAGATAACGCTGGTCAATTAAACTGTTCTTTAATTTTCAAACCACCTCTCACAATGAAAACATAAAACAATATTAGATTTTTAAATCAACTTTGTATGGACTTCATTTACACTGACACTTTTCTGGCAGTTCAAATATAGTATTTACTATATTTTCATTTTTATAAAATTATAAAATTTTTCTGGACATATGTACACAAATATACTGTAGGTATATACACACATACATAGAAAACACTCAGCTTTACTAATCCATTTCTCTTCAGGTGGGGGAAAAAGGGGTGGCGAGAGCTAGCCCTGCTAGCTGTTTGTAAGGACAAAACACACACACACTCTTCTCTCTCACTCCCTCACACACTTGGACACACGCACACACGCGCACACACGCACACACGCACGCACACACACACACACACACACACACACACACACACAGAGATCTTGTTCAACACAAGCATCTCTAGCTTCAGGCCTGGCGTTAGTCTAATCACAGTCTCTACAAACTCTTCTTTTAAAACTTTATCCAGGATGTTTGACCAAACACTTTTGCTCTCTTTCAGCAACATCACCTTCAACAGTTTGACGCATCCAATCCTCCATTTTCCTCTGCTGGCCACTAAGCCGCTCCACTGTAGAAAAAGGGGGGTTGTGTGCCTTGCTTAAAGGCACCTTGGCAGTAGTTTTTGAGCTGGTCCTGGTTTTGAACCACCACTCACCAATCACAAACTGCTCTGGCACTCAGCAGGAGAAGGACCTCGTTTTGGCCTTTTTTGTGACCTTTGCCACAAACAGGACAACAATGTTAAGAGCGTCACGGCTGAAGAGGAGCGGGGGCACTTTGGGTGATTTTAAAACTCCTTACTGTCCCTGAACAGGTCGATGCGAAGGGCAAGTTCCTTGAAAGAAGGACGCAGGCTGGGGTCGTTGTCCCAGCACTCCTCCATGACCTCATGTATCTGAGAGACAGGACAAAGAGAAAAAAAATGGTTTTAGTAAGGAGTTTATACTGCATTCATGCAATGTCACACACAAGGAAAACCTGACTGGTAGCCCTGTAGTCAGACAAATTAAACAGCCTAAATCTGGTATTGTTGCTGGGTTTCATATTTGGAGTGGTTAGTTAAAAGTTAAGTTACATTTTAAATTTGCTGAATCAAATGTATTAGAGATTATATTAGATTTTATTTTGACGTAGCTGCCAGTGATGGTGACTTTGCTATAGTTCTTTTGGCAAATGTAGCAGCCTTCAGAAATTCCTGAGTCATGTTTACAACTCTGAGGCTGTCATGAACGGGTTTTCCAACTCAATCAAGTATTGTTGTTGTCTGGACTGTTGTAATATTCTTAAACTGCCCAAGCACACCTCCAAGAGGCTGGATTTTTTTTTTTAAATTAATTCCAGAGATGAGCATTAGTCAGTATATGTCAATTACTCTTGATGGAAATGACAGGTAATCGGGGTGTTCACACTGAAAATGGCACTATAATAAAAAGTGCGAGGGGCGTTTTGCTTCAGGCACTGGTGAAAAGATAAAATATGATCCAGGAAGGCTGGTTTGAGTAACACACCCATGTGTTTTAAGGAAAATGGCAGAATTTTGACCAGGAATACATTCGTCTTTATGCATTGCTATTGGAGGTTTGAAAACTGAGAATAACATGCAAACTGTTCATGTTTGCAAAACTGGTTGAGCTGTAGTTGTTTTACACCACAGGGAAAGACTGTTCTTTTTCAGAATGGAGAAAACATGAAAGGTCTACATTAGGGGAATATGACACATTTTTGTGTTACATTCAACTGTTAGCATCAAATTGTACCTATTTATTTTGATTAATTTATGTTATGTGGATAAACATTATTAGATAAGGAGAGGAAATGCAATGTATAACACTGCATATGGGGCTTCTAGCTGAATCAAATTTGCAGTCCTGTTCCCAGGTAGCCAAATAAAAGAATATGAAAACACCCAACCAAACAAGTGTATAAAATACACTCATACAAATGTGTATATGTGTGAGTACTGAGTATACACTGACATACAGGTGTGAGTGTGTGTACACGAATACAAGTATATGTGTGTACACTGCGTAAGAGTACACGTGTGTGATAAATGAGTCTCTTCAGAGAGAGAAAACAGCAGTACATGTGCTTACCTCTGAGGGACAGCCCAGAGGCTGAGGCAGCCTGCTGCCTGATTTAAGGAGTTCAATGAGGTGATAGACGATCAACTGTCCCTGCTTATCGTTCCCCATCATAGACATAAAAACCTGGGGAGGAGAATGATGACAACCAAGACAAAGACAGATTAAAAACAAGATCCTTACAGATAATAAAAATGACTTATACTCTCAACAGGTCAATGGTCAAAGTGATTGTACTAGTATTAACAACACAAGTGATAAATCTGTTATTACTGAGACAAAGTCAAAGATGTGGCGTAAGCTGAGCAGAGAAACGCTACTACAGTCAACATGGCAAATGACATGTCAGATATAGCATGGAGAAGTGTGTATGTTTAATGTGTAATTATGCAGGACTTCTGGCTCAGCTGGCTCTTTGCCCAGAATATCAACAGCATACATCCAGATGCTGTAAGGTGTCAGAGCAGAAGAGAGGGCCTTGGTTTAACTTATTCAGTACACGCCCTGAGGTATGATTGTTCAGGCAGAGGAGGGAGGAAAACACTTCCCCTGCAGCGTTCGGAGGGTTCAAATGTCAGGGTTTGTTTGTTCTTTTTACAGAACATGAATCACTGTCAAACACGCAAATTATCTGCAAGATGCTGACAGGTTGACGGGCCTGTTCTTCGACGTCAATTTATTTTCTTCTGACATGTTTCTACATTTAACTATAAAATAAGAATCTCTGTGTCTGTATTTTGATTTTCTCAACAACGGCTCTCGACTTGAAACTTTTCAGGTGTACTGCTGAGGACGCAAGGAAGTGCAGTGTCCACTGTGAAGTTTTTTAGATGAGCGGTTATTGAGAAAGCTTCAGACAATTTACAAGCATGCACATGCCAGGGTTTTAAGAAAGAAAAAAATAATTGTCTCTTGGTAGATGGATTCAGTTCTCCCAGTTCACATGTGACCACAATTGTGTTCCACTTAAGTCCAACAAGTTATATTTGACTCCAAGAGATTCTAATGGTTTCTTCCACTTTCGCAGAAAAACCCCTCCTTCCATCGATGTAATATTCTTGTCGTTCCAAAGTCACAACCTCAGAAATAAACTGTACTGTATGTTTACACATACTGCCCTCCAGAACATCTGAATTTTGTTGCATTCCACAGAAAATAAAGCCAAGTAACTACACGTCATTATAAATATATGGGGAAATATAAATATTATTCAGAATATTATATTGTAACTCTTTAAATCTATTACATATTGAGATACAAGATCTGGATCTTATCATTATCTATCACTCATTTGAGCAGTGCACACCAAAATGTTCTTAACCATGCAAGTTTGTCCAGGTTCAAACTAAATATCACAATATACATTTTTGATAGAAAGTGTTTGTGCTCTCTATGGTCCAAAAAACAGCATTTGTAAATTTTAGCGCTTTGGCACTTTTGCTTTTCTTGTACACATCATGTCTAACTTGTATTTGTAGAATTTCTTATTTGATAAGTGATACTGAGCTTTAAGAGATTCAAATGTTTTAAATCCTTCAATCTCAAAGAAATGTCTGAGTGTTTTTAAAGAATCAAACAAAGATATATCTGTCCCTAGAGAGATCTACCACTATATTCCTTTTTCTGCCTTTAATTGATAGTACTAGAATTACCACCTTGCGGTTGGACGCCTTCGCCAAGGAGCCAACTTGCAGGAAATATGGTCATAATCTC